GGGCAAAGAGGGGGGGCAGCAGTGCGCAAGGGGCGCAGCCGTGCGCAGTCGAGGATCATTGGGGCATGCACCTGCGTGGCCGCCACCCCCCTTTGACCCAGGTGTTGGCGAGACGCCCTCATGGCTCAGTCATGGAGCCTGCACCAATGGGCTGACAGCAACCAACTGGACTGGCTGCAGGGACCAGGCTGGCGCCAACCCTGACCGCACAACCAACATCCTGCCCTGCCCCACCCACCCGCGATGTTGACGAGGGTGGCGACGGCCTCCTCGGCGGTCGGCGGCGACCCCACCACGTGCAGGCCGCAGGGCAGCAGGCGGCTCTCGATCTCCATCAGCTTGCGGTACACCTGGCCCACCACGCTGTCGCGCTCGTCGATGGAGAGGGATCCGGCGTCCTCGGCCGCGGGCAGGGCCACGTCCTTGTCGAGGTTGCACTGGCGCGCGGTCTCAATGATGGTGGCCGTGATCTGCTCCGCGCGGCCGCTCTCGCGCATGCCCTGGTAGCTGCTGATCAGCTCCTTGAGCTCCTTGAGGCCCTTGTAGAGGCCCGCGTTCTCGGCGGGGGGCGTCAGGTAGCTGATGGTGTTGGCGTAGGAGCGGCGCTTGGCGATGGTGGCCTCGCTGGGGTGGGCGGGGGGAGGGGGCGGAGAGGACCGCGGGTGGCGTGAGGTGGCGTGACGTGGCAAAGGGGTGAGAGCGCATGTGGCAGGGGTTGGGAGAGGGCAGGGCTTTCCACAGTGTATCATGTTGGCCCAACCACACGTCCAGTGTATGCAAAGCCTGGTCTCAGGCGCTGTGAAATGACAGGCGCTGTGAAATGACACACTCGCAGCATTTCTGCAATCCTGGCTGCGGGCTGTGCCCACCTGGGGTTATTGGCGGCATAGTAGTAGAGGTTGGGGATGGAGCCGATGAGGCTGTCGGGGTAGCACACGCCAGACATGCCCACCTGGGGTAAGGGTGGGGGTGCAAGCGAGAGTTTGTTCAGAGGCATTGTGCAGAGACATGTCAAGGGTCAAGAAGGGTGTGCCATAGGTTTCAGGGTTTTTGACACAGCCGCGTGACGCCCTCAGCCCTGCGGCCCATTCTGTGCAGCTTGACACTCTGAATAGTGTGGACGCTGCAGCCTCTGCGCGCACCTGCTTGCCGGGCATGAACTCCAGGGAGCCGTGAGTGCCAAAGTGCAGCACGGCGTCGGCCTTGAAGATCTTCTCCAGGTAGGTGTAGTAGGCCGCAAAGCCGTGGTGGGGGCTGGCGCTGCGGCTGAACAGCAGGCGCATGGGGTCGCCCTCGTAGCCAAAGGTGGGCTGCACGCCGATGAAGACGTTGCCGAACTGCTTGCCGTAGATCAGCAGGTCGTTGCCAGCAGAGTTGAGGTTGCCGGGGGGCTTGCCCCAGTTCTCCTCCAGGGCCTCGCTGTACTCGCACAGCTTGGTGTACTCGCTCGTGGGCATCCTGGGGGATGAGGGGAATTGGGGGGTAGACGGGGTTCAAGGTGGGTGAAGGGGTCCCTGCAGCAAGGCTGTCAGGTGCTGTAGGGCATTGCAGTGACACCTGAGCTCCTTTCCAAACCAAGCAACTGCCTCTGTGGCGGCAAAAATGCAGCGGGACCACCCGATGCCTTCCAGTGGCCTACATTCACAGTGTGCCAACATTGGCTGAAGCCTGCCAGCTTGGCAGCATGCTTGCCTTCAGCACCTTGAGTCCCCCACCCGTCCCCCCACCTGTACGCGATGTTGAGGTCGCTGGAGTTGAACTTGGCCTCCTTGGCCTGCAGCACGCTCTGGATGAGCTCGGTCTCGTTCATGGGCAGGCTGCCCACGTTGTAGCCCTCCTTGCGCAGCTCCTTGAGCACGCGGAAGATGGAGCCAAACACGTTGAGGTACGCGGCCGTGCCCACGTTGCCCTTGTCCGGGGGGAAGCTGAACACCGTGATGGCCAGCTTCTTCTCGGCGTTGGCCTTCTTGCGGAGCCGCGCCCAGTTGACCGCGCGCATGCACAGCGTCGCGACGCGGTCGGGCAGCGAGTGGCTCTTGCCGGTGTTGGAGTCGCGGCCGGCGAAGACGATGGGCTCCAGGGCGCCGTCGAGCTCGGGCAGCGCCACCTGCAGCGCCACCTGCACGGGGTGCACGCCCAGCTCGCTGCCGAGCCACTCCTCCGTGGTCTGGAAGACCAGGGGCAGGGACACGAGGTAGGGCACGTTGAGCTCCTTGAGGGCCTCGATGGCCTTGGGCGCGTCCTGGCGCGCGGGGCCACCCACCAGCGCAAAGCCTGGGGGTTGTTGGGGGGTTGGGGAGAGGGGCAGGCAGGGGATGTAGGTGAGGAGGTGATCAGAGGAGATGATGAGTGGGCAGGGGAAATGGAATTGACCAGCAGGTGTGAATGATTGCATCACGGTGGGACTGGCGCTGGGGCCATCTGCGACACACCCCCACCCCAGCCCCACCCCCCATCTTGGCCTCGCCCAAGCCCGCATGCCTTCCTTGCTGGCCACTCGCCACCCACCCGTGAGGGAGACGCAGCAGTCCACGAAGGCCTTGCCGCTGCCCAGGGGGTCGTAGAAGAACTTCTTCACGGGGGAGGAGAAGTCCAGGCCGCCGGCAAATACGGGCACCACCTTGGCACCACGCGCCTCCAGCTCCATCACCTGCTCAGCAAGGAAAGCAGGGAGGACGGTGGGGTGGGAGGATTCAGTGGTGGGCGCCTCAGTGCTTAGCGGACTTTATTGCAAGACGCCAGATGCGAGCGCGGCTGGCCTGCTGGCCGTACTCAACAGGCCGGCGGCAGTCTGCAGGCTGCACTGCCCTGCTGGCCTCCTCTGCTGCCTGCTCAGGCATGCAGCCGATTGACAACATCTAGCGCCACGCTCCCCACACCCTCTCAAAACCGTCACACCCCAGCAGCGCACCACGCCGGCGTAGTGGCCCTCATCGCCGGTGACCAGGTGGGAGCGCTGCATCACGAGGCCGATGATGGGGGCGTCCTTGGCAAACTCCACGTCACGGCGCGTGTCGTACCTTTGTGGGGGAGAGGGGGACAAAGGGCCAGCGAGGCACAAGAGCCACGGTGAGCACTCAGGCAGCTTGGTTGACGCCGGCTGCAGCAACCGCTGAGCGCAGCCAGGCCGTTTGGGCTCACCAGTCACTGACTGAACTCTGCCTGCAGGCTGATGTTCAACTGTTTGCGCCTGCCACCTCTCCGACCCACCATATCACAGCACTGCTGTCAGTCTCAACCACATGCGACCCCCCAACCCCAGCTCACCCCAAAAGGCTACCGCTCCACACCGATCTCCAACCCCCGTCCTTACCCCCCACCAAAAGCCCATCACCCCCTCACCAGTTGAGGTACTCCTTGAGGTCCTCGTACATGGTGGTGGCCATGGGGTGCCAGATGCCCACCTCGGGGAACAGCTCGGGGT